TTAAGTCACACTTGCACACCTAAACACTCACACCCACACTGTGAACAATCTCATTTGATCAATCCAGTCTAAGTGCTCTAATTTCTGTCCAGCTCACTCCCTACTCCTCTTTCTTTTATCAGTTTGCCCACTGATGGTAAAATCATCACCACCCTAATCAGACAGATTCAGCCACTTAAGTATAAGTTAGTCTTTCTGAGCCACAGTTTACTCATGTATAAAATGGAGCTAATGATATCTATGTCGTGGATTCATAATTAGTATTATTCTCACCCTATTTGTTACAACAGCCCTAATTTGTTCTTCACACTCATCTAGAATAATCTCTCTAAAATACATATCTAATTGAGTTACTTTTCTGCTTAAAATACCTTCAGTGGACCTCTGCCCTCTATAAGATAAATTCCAGACTCTTTGGTAGAGCACATAAGGAGTTTTATTATTTCTTCTCTGCCTATTTTTCTAAGTTTATCCACCTCATTCTTCTGTACCTGATACATTTCCATTTATCCTTTAATTCTCAACTCAGATACCACCCCTGAAAACCCCTTCTATCATTCTTCTAGGTAGAAATAGTCATCTTGTTTTTCCATTCTGCCACCTACTTACAATTTTTTAACCTTTGAATATTAGAATGTAGTTATTATTTACTGAACATTTTTCCCCTCACTAAATTACGAGTCTCTGCAGTAGTCATTTTATATCCCTAATGCTCAGAACAGTGGGTGGTCCACTCGACACGTTTGTTGACGTAGGCGGGTGGAGCGTGGACAGATACGTGGATGACGAAATTTTGTGCTCCAACAGTAATAGATAAGAGTAAGAACACAGAAAATAATATGTATAATAGTAATAACTTAAGATTTGTTCACATCATTAACACAGTGCAAAGCATTCTAACTGACTTTACTTGTTCTTACCAAGTATTAAGAACACAATATGAGAGTCACTTTGGTAAGCGCCAAGAAACAATAAGGAGCACATTTCCCAAAGGAATTCATGTTACCTCTGCCCATTTTCCCCTCAATCATGAAAGCAACTGGCAGGGAAATCATGGAGACTGTAACTTTTGCCTAAAGGAATATATGTCATATTTGCCGAAACAGGAGGCAGAGAAGGCTCCTTGTCAGATCTAGTCTTTATATGAAATGTAAAAGGTAACTCTTTGAATGACTTTATCACTTATAATATTTTACAAATGCAAATCAAGGGGAGGAGCATGAAATTTCTGATTTGGACCTTCCTAAGAAATACCTAAATAAACTACACTTAAAACTATATAGCTATTTGCAATAATTCTAGAAAGCCACACTATTCCTCTTTTTAAAGTCAAACGTGGAATCATTTGTTTTATTTTTCTTCCTGAAACCACCATATCTTGGTTTCAAAACATTTTAAAAAGTAGAAAACATTTGCTTCAATTATCAAAACTTTGTGGAAGAAGTGATTTTTCATAAAATTATCTGGATGAAATCCATGGTTGGTTAAGTGATCCATAAATTCATTACTCTTTATTATCTTAATTCTTTTCTTCATCTTCATTTCTGTTATTAAGAAAATATAAGTACACAGTAACACAATAATTATTCGTTACATCCTGTAGAATATAATGCTATATTCATTTAGTGCATTTTGATTACTATGCTCTTGTAAAATAGTATGACTAAGGCCATAATATAAGAAAAAGGAAACTACCCATTGCCAGTTTTTTGAACCATGTTGAGCTTTATTTGAATAATTTTAAAACATGGATATGAAATGTATTATATTATTTCCATAAATGCCATATTAAGTTTCCATGCATTCATGTACTTATTTAGAATTTTTTATTTTGAAAAATGTTAGAGCTTTAGTACAATAAGCAAAAAAAAAAAAAAGAAATTCAGGGGTTTTAAGGTAAATTTAATTGTGAAACAGATGAAAAATAATACACTATCTTTTATTTGCATATGTTTCTTTTAGTAATACTAGATAAATGAAAAACATTTTCAATTAAACCTAATAGTGACTTTATAGTAATAGTAAATCAAGACAGTAATCGTGATTTTACAGTAAGGACTAACTTATTCATAAATCTTTACAGTCAGAATAACTTTAAGACCATCTGCAGTTAGCTAACATTAACCATGGAGAGGACTGCATAGGATCTGGCTACAGCGAAGCAACTCTGTCATGGGAGGGTGCATGTCTGATACGTGTTTATACACTACCCTTTCCCTGAGGATCCAGGACTGTGCCTTGCACTTAGACATTTGGAATGAATTACTATCAGTTTTATGCTCCATTAAAAAAAAAAATTAAGACCTCTCGGAGTGGATAGTAGTTTACATATTTGCATTAACTGGCTTCTCATCTTCCAGAGTCTAATCAGTCCTCTGTTTCCCTTAATCAGTGTTTATGAAATTAACCAAGTTAACTAAATACATCTAATATTTGAGCCACAGCTAAAAGCCCTTAAAAATGCTTTGACATGTGAAACAGTAACACTCACTGTCATCTTTAGTCTGCAGTGTCTCCTCATCTGACAATTTTGTGTTTCTTGCCTGAAGGCAGTAGGAGAGCCCTCTGTTTTTAGCTTATTATTTACCCATAAAGGAAGACTTCCTGGAATTTAAAAGATGTATTTTGGAGAATAGAGCTGTAGCGGCATACAAAATTGATGTTTGATTCCCACATCTTTAGATGAAGAGATCCCAGATTCATCAGAATCCCAGAAATGAGTTTTGCGTTTCCTTACTGAAGTGATGCAGGCGTTCTAAATTACCATAAATCCAATCTTGCTGGTTGATGATATCAGGTTTCTTTAAAGTACCTTCTCCTTGATTTGTAAAGAGATACTTAATTTTCTTTGGTGGGACCAGTTGAATTATAACCAACAAAAAGGTAACCAGTGCCAGTACACTAGATCACACAGGTAGAATGCTCAAGTCATAGGCTGCCCTCTGTTATTTAGAAAGCATTTCCAGAGTTCCTTTATCTTACCCAGAGCTCTAACCATATGACACCTGATGTTCTTCTGCATATTGAAATCCACTGTATGATCGGTAGCCTCTCTAAATCCAAAGAGTGCTGTCCTCATAGAGACATATGTTTAAGTCAGTAGGGATGTGCTTGTGGGCTTCTTTCTGCGTCTTCCCACAAACTAGCTGGGAGAGTGAGAAACTTCATTAAAAAGGCGTTTGTCAGGATGCTGGCAGGATTGGAAAATCTTCCACAGGCTATGTACCTAATTTCCAGCCAGTACAGAATTACTCCCAACAGAAATCATTTACTGCTTTAGTGGCCTAAGTGATGGGGCAGTTAGCTTCTCTTTTGGCTGACTGCTCTGCAGTCTGGTTGCTTTCAGATGTGAGGAAAGTCCTCTTAATATTCAAACAGAACTTCTGTCTCACCTCATTTCTTCCAACATTGATTTGACAATGTCTGGTGGGCAAAGCTTGTCCTCTGCTTGTTGAAACCCCAAACGTGTCAGAGTCACACAAGCAAGGTATTTGGGAAAAGCGTTATGCTTATCTACATTTTAATCAGCCCACTAAAATTTTCACAATTGCTGCTTATTTCAGTTGCTCCTCCCATCCCCCTTAAGTGCCCCACCCCAAACTGGATCCTCCATGTTAGTCCCCACTTATTTATGTATCCACAGTCATTGGCCAGCAGATTTTAAATGTACCATATTACGCTGAAAACAGAATATGATGTGGTTGGATTGATTTATCACTGCTTGTTGGACGCTTCACATCCGAAGTTCAATTCTGGCTTCATATCGAGAGAATTTTTAAAAATTGTGAATGTGTAGTCTGGTAACAAAATTTAAGTTGTTTCTTCAAAACTGTTTTGCAAATAAAATGATGAGATGTTGGAAAAGCTTTAGAAAGAAGAGTGTTTGGTATGCAAAGGAATGTCATAAGAGCAGAACTTGGAAGTCTTAAAAAAGAAAAATAAAATCCATACACGTGAGAAAAACCACCCCACTTCCCCAGTTGGCTTCCTCTACATCATCCACTGATTACAGCTGCTTTCAGAAATAATGCTCCAAAGTAAAGAAAGAATTAGCTGTACTCTTGTACATGTTTGCATAGAGATTCAACTACCAAATGTTTTCCTGTAAATGATCTACCCAAAAGATATTCTAGAACTCAAAATCTAATCAAGTAATTACAGTTCTACAGATGTACTAATAGAAAAGGGAAATACTTGTGGTGAAACACCATTAATTAAATGTGCCTGATAGTATAATTATTTCTGGTTAATTTCTGGCTCAGTTCTCTTAAATAATACTTTTATAATTGTTGAACACCTAATAGGCGGCAGCGTTTCCAATAATGTGATAGGAAAGAAGCCACCTTCCTTTCTTGGTGTGTTTGTAAGAAATATTCCAACCATGTGGGTTGTGACATGTCCCCTACCCTTTACTCCATACGTAATAGCTCATTCCCAGGCCCCTATAATGGCATGTAACACAAAGATTACCCAAATCCCTGTTATAAGACAAAAAGTACTGTAATAATGATAATTTGTCGCAAAGTCATGGCCAACAGGCAACAATGTAAACAGGACCTCTTGCAGCATAAAGGAGGTGGGTTCTGCCTGTCCAGAAGCCAGGGACCCACGCTCTTTCTGTTCTGCGATGTTCTGGGCAGCAGCACTTAGACCAGCATTGCCACTGTACCTTTTGGTGACACATTAACAAGGATATTGGAAGAAAAGAGGAAAAGCAACGACTTTTCAGAGAAAATTGAAAATTTCAATTTTCAAATTGTATTTAGCTTGTTTAAAAGAGTTGATTTTCATGACAGATTTTTCTCACCCTTAGAAAATAACATTTTCTCACAAGGTATAATGGTATTAACTATTCCCAGGTTTTCTTTCAGGTGGCCAAAATAATCTTGTTCAACTGTTTGTGTATTTTCAAATATGTGTTATTTTTATCAGTTTTGTTTCATTTGTGCTGTCATGTTGTGGATCCACTAACATTTCTGATATGCTTTCTTGATAAACAGGTCGCCATGGAGATGGAGGTTATTGGCCAGTTGACACTAATTTGATCGATAGAAGCACTCTTAATGGTAAGTATATAAGTTAAGTGATGTTGGATTTGTTATATTAATTTAAATGGTTTATGCTAGAGTGGCTGAGACAGCTTTTCTATGGACCGCGAACACCAAGAAGCCCGGACTTAGGGTTTTAGTTGGGATGATAGAAACATGAAGTTTTGAACAAACCTGTAGCAATATTTCACCAGGAGACAGAGCCGATGAGAGTTACAAGTGTACAAAACAGAGTCAGAAAAGCCCACACATAGAGAATTTAATAAATGAATTTAATAAATATCTGGATTTTAAAATACTACATTTTTTTAAATGTCTCTAAAAATTTAATTTTATCAGACAGAGGTGACATCTAAGGTTGATCAAACTGAAACCCACTCAGCTTCAAAAATAGAAGTTACTGGGACTTTTCACCTGGAAAGTACGTTTACTCTTCAAAATCCTCTAGCGCCTAATTGCTGATTTTCCTTAGTGTTGTCAAGATTAAATATTTATTTCTGCTCATCCCATTGGAGCATTCGCATCTGTCTGTTGGATTTGGGGATGACCAGATGGAGATAGTATCTAGAACTGCATGGAAGAAGCAGGTTGCAGTTGGAATTGTCTTCTAGGATCTTGTTCTCAGTTTGGCTGAAACAGAAACTTTGGGAGGATGGATTAATACTAGCCAAACTCTCAAAGAAAAATATATATTTATTCCTTATTATAAGTTTTTAAAAAAATGGTTATGATTACTGTTCTTTGGATTGGTTTGCTAAAAACGTATTTCATATATTCAGAATACAAATAGAAACACTCGTGTATCCATCGCAAAGGTTAAGGTAAAAAATATTCCACATACAATTAAAATCTCTTGTACATCTTTGCCTTGTCACATGCTTCTCCACAGGTCCCTCCATCCCTCACTTACGAAACCACTGTCCTAAATATGGTGTTTACCATATATATCAGTGTATCTGTGAACATTATAATATTATTATGCATGTTTATAGCTTTATACAAATGGCATCACACTACATGTATGCAGCAGCTTGTGTCTATCTTTAACTTAATTTTTAAGATTTATTCACGAGTTTCCAAATAGCTCTTTTTCATTTCTCGTTGCTGCTGTCTCATATTCTGTTTTATGAAAAGAACACAATGTATTTATTTAACAATTTTAGCAGCTTTTCATGAGAAATTTGATTACGGAGTAGATAAATATACCCTTGAGTGGTTTTCTGTTAAAAATTTTTTTCATATGGGAAGCCAGAATTGTAATCTAAAATTTGCTTACTGAGAGTGAAATTAGAATGAGTGGGTGAGGTAAGTGATTATTTCCTGTCATAGGCTATGAAAATCTAATGCATCCATTTCCTTAAAGGGGATATGTGTATCTGAGGAGTAGACCAGATGTTCCAGCTAAAGACTCAGCATCCCCTCTCCTCTGGTCCATGGTGGACTCAGGAACATATTTTTATCTGTAGGCTCTTCCTGTTTGCAATTAGATCCTTCTGTGCTATTAATGCATTTTACTTAATCAGATAAGTACGGTTTCTTACATTTAAGCTTTCTAAATGCAAGTCTGTCAGTACTCTTTGAGGTTATATCCAGAATGCTTTCTCCAGATTGCTACAACCCTCATCACTTTCTGTTGCCTTATACACAGATCCTCTCCCCTCCTTAAGTAACGTTATTGTCTCTTATAGGTATTCGTGTTTTAGATACTTGTTATAGCCAGTGCCTGGCTCTGATACTTTCTGGGTTCCAACATATGTGAGACACTTTGGGGAGCTCACAGCAGGAAGCTGAGAGGAGGGATGTGTTGGGACTGAAAACAGACCAAGGGTGTGCTCCTTAAAATGAGTTTAGATCATGATAGTTTCCGCCTCGGAACTTTGCAGATTCAATTAGCTCATTCTCTTGCTTCAGATTTTATCTTAAGTTTCAACAATATGCCAAATACACTTCACGCATCAAGCAGTCAAGAGACAGTACTAAGCCCTCACTGTGTGCAGGGCACTTGCTGTTGGCTTTGAGTACAGAATGAAAAGCAGTCCACCGATGGAGCAGTAAACGAAGAGGGAGGATTACTCAAGCAGACCAGGCAGAGAAATATGCTCCTGGGAGATGAAAGAGAGTGAGAAAGACCCCAGGGATGTGAGGGAGGGTGAAGAAGGTTATTGCTGAAATTGTGTGGGGAGACATAATTGTAGTATTGTTTACCCTGAGAGGTTCTAGTTTTTTTATTATTATTATTGAAGTGTAGTCAGTTTACAATGTTGTGTCAGTTTCTGGTGTACAGCATAATGTTCCAGTCATACATACACATAATACATACATTCCTTTTCATATTATTCTTCACTATAGGTTACTACAAGATGTTGATTGTAGTTCCCTGTGCCATACAAAAGAAATGTGTTGTTTATCTATTTTATATATAGTAGTTAGTATATGCAAATCTCTAACTCGTAATTTATCCTTTCCTACCTCCATCCTTCCTGCCCCCGCCGGTAACCATAAATTTGTTTTCTATGTCTGTTAGTCTGTTTCTGTTTTGTAAGTAAGTTCATTTGTCTTTTATTTTAGATTCCACATATAGTGGTATCATACGGTATTTTTCTTTCTCTTTCTGGCTTATTTCACTTAGAATGACAATCTCCAGGTTCATCTATGTTGCTGCAAATAGCATTATTTTATTCTTTTTTACAACTGAATAGTATTACATTGTATAAATAGACCACAACTTCTTTATCCAGTCATCTGATGATGGGTATTTAGGTTGATTTGAGATGGAGAGGTTCTAGGTTTGAAGTTCATGCCAGAAATTAACATTGTTCCCTTTAAAATCATCCCACAGGGCTGATTTTGAGATGCTGATTTCACAAAGTTTCAAATTGGAATTCATCCCCAGCTAAGGGCATGACTGCCTATACTGGCACAGGATAGTGCTTTTTGAAGAGACAGAGTGCCAGGAAATGAAGGGGGAATCAGTATGGGTAACTGAGGAAGAACAATTACTCCCTCACAGTTCCATCCACTACTGACCTGCAGTTATGTGTGTGTGAGGTGGAGCAGATATAAGGCACTGAAAAGAATGAGATAGTCTCTTAAATTGTGTGTCCTAAAGAACGCTAATCTTGGATAGACTTGCTAAATTTAACAGCCAAAAATACAGGAGGCCCAGTAAGATTTGAATCATTTCTAACTGGCTATGAATATGAGATTAAGAAAAATCTTGCAAGCAGTTACCATCTCAAGGTCCACATGCATCTCAATGTACATATTCTTAGGCAACTAGAAATAATTCAAATTTAATTGAGCCTCCGGTGTTTTTCATTACTAAATCTGACATACCTAATTTTGGATCAAGTTTAAAAGTTTGATATTGATATTTGAACTTGCCCTTCAAAATAAAATGAATCCTCTGATTGAAAAGAAGCCCCAGTCCAAATTTGACATTAGCAGAAAAAGCAACAGATAAGAACTTGTCTTTTCACAGCAGTCAGACCTCAGATGAAGAGAATGACAGTAAGTGAGAGAAATGCATGTTGTCATTTTTTTTAGCATTTAATTTAAGATTCCTAGTGAGAAATATAGCTGTAATTAAATTTAATCTGATATACATTATCTCACCGGAGAAAGTCATGAAGATAAAATAGATGAATGGTATCCAACGACTTTGAACCAGTTTAGATAGATTACTGACATTACTCCTCAGTTTTCTGCATCACTTAATGATGTTTTAGGTATTTCATGTTAAACGATTGGGATGAACAGAGCACCTGAAACATTTCTAGAATCCCTGCTGGCATAACAGATTATTGCAGGCTGCTTGATTAATTAAGGTGAACTGATAACCTCAGGGAGACATGGATGGTGGAGGGCAAACGTAATCTGTTTCCTCTTCTGTTTTGCTATCCAACAAATGGTGGTAAATACATAATTTGCCTTTAGCTTGGGCTCTTACAAGCAAATCAGCAAAGGCATCTGGAAACTATCATCCTAATCAAAATTCTTCTGACACCTTGTGCCTTAAGAAGGGGGTATAGTTTCAAATTAGATGTACAAATGAAACCTTGAATGATAAAACTCTAACCCCACCGCACCTTTGCAAAGTAGGCTGCATCACAAAAGCATTTTAAAATCTTGGGTTTTTGAACCTCATATACAATGAAAATTTCATGCGTCTCCTCATAGAGTGACAGAATTATAGAGGCTTCCTGTCTCTCCTTATACTTGCCAGATTCATCCTTCAAAGAATTGTAATAGAATAATGGTTTATTGTCAGGCTACTCAAGCCAGTTGCAAATAAATTCAGACCTTGCTAATCATTTACTTTCTCTTATAGCATGTCACTCTATTGAAAAAGCACTCTTGAAATTCACATAAAGAAAAACAAAGCTATAGTTCATGTTTACTCTTGTAGTTGGAAGCCCTTAATTAAATTGAGGAAACCGAAGAAGCTTCCTAAATTATTTTCTGGTGGCATGTAAAATCAAAGCTAAAACGGGGTGACATGGTACTATTTCACTCTCACCATGCATTCAATTTTGTGGTCCGCATTCTTTAAACTGGAAAATCTTCAAGTTCTGAAGATGTGATTTTGTAGTTTATATTTGTATGAAAGATCACAACAGTGAAAATTACTTCAGTTCAGTCCTGCTTTTCTCTCTGGGGAGATAAATCATCAATTTCTTTTTATTGGTAGCTTTTGCCTATAATTTGCAAAATTAGTAATTTTGGTTAAGAAATCTACAAACCCTACAAAAGCATTGTTATACAGACTTCAACCATTGAAAACTTAATTAAGTGTGACAGGTATTGATACTTTAACAAAATGTTATTTAAAAATTACTATTATTAATACTTACATTTAGCATCATATCAGGTGTTCTATAAAACACATCTTGTACTCTGAGTTTAGGAGACAAGGCCATGATTTGCCCTCTAGTTTTGAAAAACTTTGTTTTATTGTTTTCCTAACCCAATAATAACATTTTAGCTGAGCTAAATAAAGTGTACATAAAAGCTCTTTG